AAGCTTTAGAGATATTTTCAAGACAGATACATTCTCCCTTTTTTGTTTCAATTTAAATGATTTATTTCATACAAGCATGCCTAAGTTTTTTACGTCAAATCAAAATATGTATCATAGTTTAAAATAAAAAATAATATAAAAAATATAAAGATATACATTATTGTTTCTTAAAACATATATAGTATTAATCTTATTAGGTGTACAAGTATTAGATTTAAATCTAACATTTTGTTCTTTTATCATAAAACATACAATTGTCATGATCATTTTTTCAAAATCACTAGAAAAAGAAGCATGATTTTTAAAATTTTTTTATTTCTTACTAACTAATTTAAAAATAACTCATGAAAAATATCTAGTAATTTCATAGTAAAGTAAAGAGGTTTTGGGTGAATCATTTTCCTTATCGTTGAGAGCCACTAAGGCATAGTTCACCACTTTGTCTTTGTTGGTTTGTTTCTCGTCTTTTGATATACTCGATTTGTCCTAATTCGCCTTGAGTGCTTTCTTCTTATTTGATAACCTCTTTTTAAATTTTGTACTCTCATCTTTGGAGTGCCTCAGCTTCTTACATTCATAGCAAGTGGTTTGATCATTTTTTAGTTTATTTTTATTTTTTAATTCTTGTTCTATGAACCTTTTAAATTTTCTTATCAAAAGTTCTATGTCATCATCACTTGAGCTTTCGCTCGTGTGGTCTTTTATTATTTGAAGTATCAAATCCTTTTTGTTATTTGGAAAGTTATTCTCATATTCATCAAATTTATTATATGCCTTGCACATCATTTCATAGGTCATAAATGACCCGATAAGTTCTTCAAGTAGAAACTTGTTTAAGTCTTTGCCTCTTGTATTGTTGTCACTTTCGGATCCCAACTTTTTGGAAGGGATATTAGTATTTTATTAATAAGTTTAAAATTTGAAAAACTTTTATCAAGTGCTTTTAGACCATTGACGACATCCGTAAACCAAGTGTACATGTCTCCAATGATTTTACTTAGTTTCGTACGAAATAATTTATAACTATGTACCAAAAGATTAATTTTTTACTCCTTAACCTTACTTGTGCATTCGTGTGTGATTTCAAGTGCATGTCAAATCTCATAAGTAATTTTGCAAAAAAACTCGATTGAATTTATTTGTATCTAAAGCATAAAACAAAGCATTTATAGCTTTGGCATTCAAAGAGAAAGTTTTCTTCTCCAAATCATTTCATTCGTTCATTGGAAGAGAAGACTTTTGAAATATGTTTTCAATAATATTCCATAACTCGAAATATATAGAAATCAAGAAAATTCTCATTCTAATTTTATAATACGTGTAATCCATTCCATTGAACATGGGAGGACGTGTGATAGAATAACCCTCTTGATTATCGATAAAAGTCATCTCTCTTGGGTTTTAAACCAAATTGAGAGTAGTTTGACTCTGATACCAACTGTTAGGATCAAGTCGGCACTAAGAGGGGGGGTGAATTAGTACTTTTGTAAAAACCTCAACGATTCAAAAATCTCATTCGATAAAATCATATCAGAAAGATGGTTGACTTGAAAGGTGTTCGTAAGCATAGTAAAAGTAGTAAGTAAGTAAATCAATTTACAATATAAATAAAAAATATAAAAGAAATGCAAACTGAGTTTTATAGTGGTTCGGTCGTCGTGACCTACATCTACTTTCGATTCCTCTTCACTCGAGGCCACCAGCTTCCACTACCGATCTTCTTTCAACAGGCGAAGATCAACTACCCTTATAACTCTTTCTCCTTTTTTCAGGCTCAGGAGAGAACCTTACACCTCTCTCTTTTAGATCTAGGCCTCATTTCTCCCTTTAGAAGAATTTTCTAAATACTAGAAAAGAGTGACTCTACTATTCAAGAGAGATTATAATTCTTTTTCAAAAAGATTCTTTCTCCCCTTTTAACTCACTTTCTTGCATTTTCACACAAGAATAGCTACGGTATTTATAGACCTCAAATTGCTTTAAAAATTGAGCCAAAAAAGGTCTCATCCTGGGTTTCTCAGGTCTTAGCGGTGCCACCGCCTGTGTTGGGCAGTACTACCGCCTATAGCACTGACACTAGGTGGTACTATCGCATGACACCATGACATTAGGTGGTATCACCGCTTGAAAGTCTAGAAGACTGTGTCTAGGTGGTACCACTGCTTGACACAGTCTTGAAGACTATCTCGGTGGTACCACCACCCAATCTGGGTGGTACCATACTAGACCTTGCTATAGGACACTGAATGGGCCAAATAGTAGGGCAAATTCAGCCTTGATTCAGGCTCAATTGGCCCCAATTGAGTTGATATTGTTTTATCCCAAAACCAACTTAATTAGACCTAAAACTATTTCGATCTAGATAATTATTAAAAAGCATTAATCATATATTGTCTGGCATGTCATTAGTTCATCCGGCGTTTCGTCCGACCCTTCGGCACATCGTCCTCTCCTTTGACGTATTGCCCAATCGATATGTTGCCTTCTCACAACATCTGATCTCCTTAGCGCAATGTCCAATCTTCTTAGTCCGATGTCTGAACTCATGACACGAAGCCTTCTACCGATATATTGATCGATCCTTTTGCTCGACGTCCAATCTTCTAATATTGGACGTACTAAGCCACTACGCCATAGTCTCCAAATGGTACAAGGAGATCTAATCCATTGGACATGTTTGCTCTCAATTACCATATATATATTGTCCCTCATCCATCTAATATTCAAGAGATCATATATTAAGCATGGTGTTATCAAAAGCTCATACGAAATCCATCTAAGTCTCATTCTAATTGGATTCTCTCGGAGAACTCTTATCTCAATTTGAATATCACATTTATCGGATTCAACACAATCTAATTGACCCTGGCCAAAGATTTACTTGAGTGAGAATATACGAGATATTTTTCTCATAATACTGAGACTAGATGATCCTCTATTGATACTCAATTGCCTTCGTAGGGTTGGTTGTCATTCCCAATGACCATTTGTACTAGATTTGAAACTTTCAGACTTATAAATCTGATATCAAAAAATGGAGTACTCAAAAAACATATCTTTAGTATCTCAAGTCTAGGGACCAGATACATAATTGGGACTACGAAATCGTTGTCTAATGATGAGATATCATTAACCATCAAACATTCTATAAGTGGATCATTCAGTAAACTCATTCTCTAATGAACACATGTACTATATCCTTAATATCCTCATATAAGTAATTATGAGACTAATTGCATTCATTATATGAATGGGTATATAGTACACCAGTAAGTGATTGTCAGGGACCTGTAACTAGTAGTGCCCCCAAGGGCGATGCTTAGGGACTGTCGGGGATATACCTCTGGTCTGGCTTTCTTGCTTCTTTAGGTCAGGGGTGTGGTCCCTTCATCGTCCATCCGAAAGGGAAGGGTGGTGAGGTCGGGCCATTAATGCGGAGTAATATTCTCTTTCCCAACTGTAGGATCGATGAGGAGTGAGTCTTGCGAGCCTATTTCAGGAAGTCAGGGTAAGCGACGTGACATTCTACTAGCGAGTGTAGGGAGTAAGTGGTTCCCGATCTTTTGCATAGGTGTTACTTATGTGACGGAGAAAACTAGCGACGTAGCAAGATTGTACCGTTTTAAGGAGAACCTACTTATCTAATCCTTAAAATCTATTAATTTTGTTTTGCACTCTTGACGAGAGACTCAAATGAAAATATTATAAATATGCTATTATAATATATAAAAAATTTCATGATCTATGTTAATCTTATGAGGTATAAAATTTTATTCTATTGAATGATAAGCCATGATATCAAGATAATGTCATCCGTGTTCTTATTAGATATAGGTAAGAAATCAGAATTAAATATTAGAGATTAAAACTAAGTATATCTCATTTTAGAATCTCAGGATTTTGTGATGATATGATAAGATTTTCACCATCTGAATATTATTGGTCAGAGTTGTTAACCACACACTGAGTAGAAAATTCTTTTTGGTTTTTTGAATTTAATGGTAACATAGTACTTACGTGATACAAAAGGAAGCAAAAATAAATTAGAACCATGCATTGAAAATTAAGCCTTAGTAATATTTATGTTTATTTTGTTTTCCTTTTACATCCTAAATTGAGTTGAACGATAAAAAAAAATTACATGTTAATTCTGAAATTTAAACAAATGTAGTTCAAACACACGACAAAAGTTTTGTTTATACACATTGATATGAAGTACTAAATTATTATTCAACTTTATCACGTGATGTCCAAAATCAAAAAGGAAAACAAACGATATCTTTCATAGGTCTACCCACGTGACAAGGGTCCATGACAATTCTTTCCCTTTTGTCGCTCACGTGGATAAGAGATTAAAAGGAGATTATTAAAGGTGGTTAGATGATATCTCTATATAAAATATTTTATGAAATATTCAACCCAGATATAAAAAGCCCATATTCAAGAGGAGTACAATGGGATTTACTTTTTACATCCATATTTACACACATCAAGTTATTAAATTAGATGTCAAAGAGATCGGATCGAAAAATCTCTTTCGACTTGATTTTTGTATAACTAACATCTCCAAAGTTTGACATTTAAACTTAGAGGTACCTCGAATTATCCTAGCATTATGAACCATATCGAACTAACCCATACATCAACGAATATTATACTCCATACATTTATACCGTTGATCAAAAGATGAAGAGAATATTAATCGTTTAAATTTTGTTGTCTACTTGTGAGCTTAAATTCAACAAATAAAAATATTTAAGTTTTATTATATTTTCGTTAAATAGTTTTACTCTTGTTTCCATGGATTTGTCGCTTTAATTTTCGTGTTATTGGCGACCAATCAGAGCAAGGGACGAGAGAAGCGTAGTGCCAAATGTCTCAACAAATTGCGTCGCGCCACATCATCAGAATTACCACGTGTTCGTGTATAATTTGCCGAAACGCATTCTTCGACGTGGCCCAAGCATCGCTGGATCCACTACAAATGCGTTTGGAACTGATCGCCAGCGGGAGACCTACTCGACGACCGGCGACCTCACGGCTGCGAGCAAAAGAGACTGCGATCGCCAGAGAGAGAGAGAGAGAGAGAGGAGAGAGAGAGAGAGAGAGAGGGAGACGATGCCATCACCTCCTACTCCTGTAAGGCTGTAACCGCTCTGGAGGGCCGACGAGAGCGAGCAGCCGTGGCTCCGTCGGGGCATCAGGGCCTCTCCCGCCGCAGGATCCCGTCCTCCGCCTCCTCTGCCCCGCCGCCACCGCCGCCTGCTTCCTTCGATCCCGAAGACCTCCCCTTCTGGCAGCAGAATTGGTTCCTGTTCCTCCTCCTCCTCATGGCCTTTTCTTTCTTCGCCGTCGCCGTCTTGCTCTACCTCGGCCTCGAAGTCCCCGAGGGCTCCCCCGCCCCAGCTACCGCCGCCCAAGAAGGCGTCCAGGTCGGTGGATTTTATCCGAAACCCTAGATCGCTTCATTGATCATGCATATATCCTTTTCCTCATACTTCGTTTTTTTTTGTTTCGGTAGATCACATATGGCAGTGTGATTAAGCTGATGCACGATAGGACGAAGTTTCGACTGCATTCACACGATGTGCCGTATGGCTCCGGGAGTGGACAGCAATCCGTCACTGGATTCCCCAATGTGGATGATTCGAATAGCTATTGGGTACGTGTTATATTTGTTGATTGAATCTTAGTTTATTTTCTTTCTTATATTGTCAATTTTTTAATGTCATCTTCATGGAACGTGAGATTGAATGTCACTTTAGTAGACATGATTTATTATTTTCTGTTATGATTAAGCATGTGTATCATGACATACAAATTAGAACGTGAGATTTGCAACACTTCGGGAAATGGCTTAAGTATGGAATTTGATTTTTTTGTTGGGACTTATGACTTTTGTTGTTGTTGTTGTTGTTGTTGATAAAACTTGACTTTTTGCAAATAGAAACTAGTGAAATGTGTAGATTGTTTAACTTTGTATCTAAACTTAGATATGCATTCGATAGGGTTATCAGATTTTTATAGACATATATACTATCCTATGTTACTTTGTTGATTTCTCCCCCTTCTTTTGTGCTTCCTTTTCATCAAGGAAGGGGGTCATTTCACATGGAGAATAAATTCGAGGTCTCGCATAAATTTAGTGGAAGCAGTCACCTAATAATCTCGTTATCTAGAAATTCTCTTTTTCACCATTCCCCATCAACGTTTCTGAAGAGGGCTAGCACAGCTGGGTGGCTCATGATTTAATCTCTCTTCTTTCTTGTTGTCATTTACTATTTGTTTATTGTTTCATTTTTGCATTCGTGATTTTTTTATCATTGTTCAGCTCTGTTGGATTTTACTTTACGTACAAGTACTACAATACATTCTAGTTGTTTATTGAAAATATATCATTTTTTTCTTGATAGTATTTTTGTGTAGGGATTTTGAGCGATGAACAATGAATATATCATTCATTCTTTAGTCACCTTTAATTTGGTGCATTTGTTTGAGATGGATGATCAATTTTATTAGCAAAGATAGTTGACCAAATGATTTCCTTGTTATAAGTTGGAAGCTGTATGTGCTGCAAACAGCAGATGAAGATGTATTAAGACTTGCATAATAGAAAGTAGGATATAAATGAGTGCCCCTTAGATCAGTTTTTGATTTACTGTTAGATGAATTATCGAGCAGAGAAAGGTGCATCTGACCAGCTCCTAGTAATCTCTTGTTAATGATGTTTTGTTGTCATGAGATGTTCACAAACTTTAGATGTTATCTGACTGCTCATTTCGTGTAATTTAATATGCCCTGTTGTAATGTTTGTTACTATGTTTAACGATGCAGGTTGTGAAGCCTCCACCTGATTCATCTGCAAAACAAGGTGATGTTATTCCAAATGGAACTATCATAAGGTTACAACATATGAGAACACGAAAATGGCTACACAGCCACTTACATGCTTCGCCGATAACCGGTAATCTGGAGGTTAGTATCATTTATGATGTTCCAGTGTGGATTTTAGCTTTCAACTCACTGTTGGCATTGTATAAGTTTAGGATCATCTAGATCCTTGCCTCTGGGCCTGTTTTGCGTATACTGATGCAGACTTCCTGTTGTTTGGATCTTCTATTTGCCCCATGTGCACACAATTTTTATGTAAAAAGGCTTTTTTTAACCTGCATCTTTTTGGCAAATGCAGCAGAATTTGTTGATGAAAAAAGTTATTTTTTGGATGCATCTGGATATCTTGTATCATGTATGATATAGGCTCTAATTGCAAGTAACCAAGTACTGGATATGCAGATGCTGCAAATGCAGAAAACCAAATAACCATTGATGAATTTATAGATGTTGCCTAACTAAATGCATGAATCATCTTTTGTTGCATAATCCATAGGTGTAGATTCTAAACAACCTGTGTCATTGCAACTTTTAGAGTATTTTAGCTCGATAAAGATGGTGCAGTATAGTTTTGTAGGTTCCTGTGTCGACATGTTTATCATGACATTAAGGTAAATGATTGCTGCAAGTAAGAAATATAAATAAAAAATCTTTGCATCTTATACTACACCATGAGATGGTGCCAACTAAGAATGAAGAAAATCTGAGGTAATTCTGACATGTCGAAAAAAGGCTTTTTTTGTGCTATGACAAGGAAGAATAATCCATTTCAAGCTTGTGTCATAGAAGCCATGGAAGACTAATACTATCAATTTTTGGTATGCCTTTTCTATTAATTATTTTGTTCTTATGATCTTTTTTTCCCTACGCATTTGAAAAAAAAAAGTGAATTCAACTTTACAGACAAATGTTCTTAGTAAAAGAATCCTATGTACAGGCTGCACATCTTTTTCTTATGGAACTTGAGGTTTTACCAGTCCCATGATTTTGCCTTGTGCTGTCTCTATATATCAAGAGACACTTTAGACATGTCTATCCATTATCTGATTTGCATCTTATTCTACAGAGTTACTGTGTCCTGTATTTGGAGGAGTCAAAAGATTATTATCTTACAGTAGGGGGAGATGTCAATGCAAGTGAAAAGAATAGAAAGTAGAAAAAACAGCGACCATACCATCTACTGTTAGGCTGATTCTTACAAGATCATAGCTAATAATTTGTGATTATCTTCTGATTCGTGGATAATGGTTGACTTTGTTCGCAGTGGTTCCAACACGCAGTTGCATATTTTCTTCCAGGTGCAGCTCCTTTTTCGTACTCAAGGCATGGTGCTATTAGCTGCACTAAACTTTGTTTGGCTATATCTTAAAATTGGGGGAAAAGAATTTCCATTTGCTAGAAGATAGGTTTGAAAGAAGGTGATATCAACAGATATAGGTTACCCTATGGTTTAGGGCAGTGAAAAATGAAAAAAAACAAATGGCAGATAACCCCTCAGCCAAGTCTTCTACACCGAGCCTTTTGCACATTATGAAAAGTTAAAGTAACTCACTGCAACATGGTGTTTTTGCTTTCTTCATTATTTTGTCATTATCATTTGTCTTGATTCACTGGTCAATGCCTTGATCTTTTGTTTTAACCCAACCTTTGCTAGATAACTAATATCTTTGGCTAACTACAGGTGAGCTGCTACGGCGGAGACATGAACTCTGATACTGGAGACTTTTGGCGGTTAGAACTGCTTCAAAGCTAATACTTCTTCTCATATGCAAGTGATAAGGCTACTTATGTTTACCGTTACCTTCACTTTTCAGGCTGGAGATCGAGGGAAGTGGGAAGACTTGGAAACAAGACCAAAGGGTAAGACTGCGGCATGTCGATACTGGTGGTTATCTTCACAGTCATGACAAGAAATATTCCCGTATAGCTGGAGGCCAGCAAGAGGTAGAATACTACCACACAGATCTTGTGTTTATTAAATTTGAAGAGCACCTTACTCAAAAGATACACCCTAGACGAGCAAGTGTCGGAGGGTTCACCAAACTGTTCTATCATCTTTAAGAATGCTAGCTCGAGTTTTCTGAATCTGCCACGAATACCTAATTATCGATCAGTTGCGGATGAGTTGCTATAACTTTTGCATACTTTTGCAGGTCTGTGGAGTTCGCGAGAAGCGTCCTGACAATGTCTGGTTAGCAACGGAGGGAGTCTATCTTCCAATTAATACAAGTGATGTTTGAATTATCAAGCTGCTTTAATCAGCCAGTATTCCTCTTGTCGCCAACTACTTGTGCCACGAAGTTTTGGTTCAATTACTGGGTGGTGAGTGACTTTCCAATGCACTAACCTGAACGCAGTACTTGTTTTGCTTGATGTAATCGACGGCCTTCTTGAGCTCGTACCCCCACCATGGGTATTCCATAATTGTTTTTTGACATTACATATGCATCAGCATGTAACATAAGCATTAGCTGAAACAATTCACCAAAAATATCGGTTGTTATCAGGTTATTAATTAGAAACTGGTTTGCTATCAAGTCATTATTTATAACCCAATGAATTATCCCGTGTATATTGTTTAAGCGTGCGAACAATTCATATGTAGCTTGGAATCTTTGATCTTGGATTGTAAATTATAACAATAAAACGAATCCTAGGTTTTATCAAACGTCACAACCCGCGTACGAAGCCTGTGTTATATTCTCTATACATAAGTTGTGTATGTGGTATAATATACCCTTCAAACACAGAGCGACAAGTAAATGTAAATATGGGTAGTATATATGTCATTGTCGTCATTATTTATTTAAAAAGTTATAAGAAGCATATCTAATCATGTTTAATATTAGTTTATTCAAATTAAATAATTTTATAGAAGTATGGACATATAAAATATTTTGCTGCTTTTAGGAGCAAAATGTGTTTAAAGGTATATATTTATGCTAAACTTGATAGAGGAAAATCACTACACATGTTTGATTAAGCCTACGAAAGAACTGTCTGCGTGTAGAGAAATTAGAGCCGCCATGTTTATCGGCGCGAGGCTTTGGGAGGGCGCAAAGGACTCCGATCGTGACTTGGACGTGAACATTTTAAGATCAGGACTTGATCCGTCCATCACCAGCGGATCGAGCATGATGAGCTTAAACTTATTTTTCGATACCAATGGGTCATCAAACCATTGGATCGCGGACTAATCAATGGTCAAAAGATTAAAAAAACCCGGACTGCAGGAAAAAAAAAATCAATAGCACATCAGAAAAAGATAAAAATTAAAATAATTTAAAATAATTTTATAAGATGCAAATGTGTCTCAGACTTCTTAGGTTACGTTTGGAAACATATTTATATTTTTAATGGATAGTTGAAAAAAGAAACTTCGGTGAATATATAATTTAATACTTGATAAATAATAGATGAATATTATATCTTATGTGTATTGATAAAGCTATTATCTTTTCTACAAAGGATAAGTAAGGAAGACAGGATTCGAGCCCAATATCCTTCTAATAATTTTTAATATTTTATTTAAAATTATATATATAATTTAAATTAATAAGTAAAAAAATAAATAAATGTACATAATCTTATAAAATTTTTTGCATAAACCAAATATAGAATAAATAAAAATATAATTATATAAATAAATACAAAATAATATTTTAAAAATAAAATAAAATTTCACCTTATAAAAAATATCACTAAATCATTTTGAAAATCTTGTAATATTAAATAATATCATGAGATATTTTAAAAATTATATTAACATTTCATAAATATTGAAATGTTAATACTACCTGAAGATAGTATTAGTATTTGAACATTTTTAATGTAGCATCTAAGCCAAATGCGATTCTAAAAAAATTATCCAGCACCAATTCACATTTGAAATGTATATTTACAACAAAAATTATGCAAATGATTTCAAATGTATTCCCAAACACACACTTACTCCCACAAAAACTATACTTTTACATAAAATTATATATATGTATATATATACACATATGTATGTATATATGCATATATATATGAATATATGTATATGTATACTTATATATATATGTATATATGTATATGTGTATGTGTATGTATGTATGTGTGTGTATAACACTATAAACATATTTATAACTAGTATGGTGTATAACACTATATACATATTTCTTTTATAGTGTATGTATATGTATATGTGTATGTATACACCATCAGTATGTATATATATATATATATATATATATAGTGCTTTTGAAATTTACTGAATGGTTGTTCAAAACTGGTTTACAAACAAAAGAAAAGGTCAAAGGATCCAACATCATTTTTCTGGTATGTATTCTCTTCTACAACTGCTTTTTTTTCCATCGGAAAAATGCATAGTCATCTGAATATAACATAAGACATACCACCATAAAATCAAATTCAAAGCCTGTAGGGTGCAAAGATCTAAGTCAAAAAAAAAAAAAGAATAGAAAAGAAACAATCCCAATGTCCACTGAACTGACTCCTACTCTGTATTATTGTTAATACTTGATGGTTCAAGTAATACAAAGACATGAGCTGTAAGTGTGAAAAGTTCTTCACACATCAACCATAACAGTACTAGCATCTTGAGTTTAGAGAATCTGCATCTACTTAATAAAGCTGCAAGATAGATCACTCAGCTCTGAACAGGCAAAAATATCACATCTTAGTGCTGCCATATTCTGATGTAGCATCATTGCTATCATCCTGCAAAAAAAAGGGTGCAATCAGATGTACTTCTAAAATCCAAAATCAAGTTCGATGACTAAATCATCAAGATCATGAAACTGCACAAAGTTATCGCATTTTTGTATAAGCAGAACTGTGCTGCTCATGTCAAAAAATATGATACCAGTGGATATCTATGATACATTGTTTCCTACTTTGTAATTAGGTTGTTTGCTCTGTTCCTGTTACTAATAGTGGACTTCAGGAATCGAGGAATCATCAACAGAAAACTTTGATTGATGGGCTCTTCTATGAGAAGCATAATATCGATATGACAGGATTCAACAAAAGAATATCTTTCAGCAAGTAGTGCAGTATGAATAAGTTTCTCAGAGCAGCTTGTGATCATTCTCTTTCTTAAGAGTCAGATGTTTCTTACTGATGCATGCTAATCAGACATGGTACAGTCTGCATTCGGCATTTTAGAACTTCCATAACTCCCATCTTTATCAAAGAAAATGACCCTATTCGGCTTGTCCAATGCCTTGGCAATGTCTCTTACCAAAAGATTTCAAGCCATATTAAAATGTTCCGAAACAAACTTAGTATCTATATCATTCCTAAAATGCTTTAGCTGCTTATTAGATGTTCACTTGAACTAACATATATAAGGAACTACAAAAGAAAGGCAACCACACATCACGAGATATATCGACATTCGAGTAAAGAAAAAGATGGTGTATAACACTATAAACATATTTATAACTAGTTCACTTTATCATCAGTTGCTAAGTTCTATTTAGACTATCTGAAAGAATGAATAATTGAGCAAGCAGAAAGGTTATAGAGAAGAAACATGGAAAGAAAGCATACAGGCTTGGTCATGACATCTGCAATATTGCCATAGCTACAACCAGGAGAAGTGACACGACTGCACGATTTGTTGTTCTCTGACCCATAGTCATCCTTATAATTCAGCTGAATCTCCACAGTTGACTTATCGAGCATGCACTTATATTGGAGGGATGGAACACCAAAAGCTTGGCCCGTCTCAATGGCACCCATCATTTTGTTATGGATGCTGCTCTCTGATGTCTGATGCTGCAATATTTTTTCATTTACCCCAAGATGTGGCAATGAAGGGCACAAGGAAGAACCCAATGTGGCATTAGGATCAAATGTATGATGCCATTCCTGTCTATAATTGCCCAGACTTTTGATGTTTGGGTTGTCATCACTACCAGCCGGCATAATCATCATGTTCCCACCAAACAAATTAACTTGGTGTTGTGTAGCAGTCAATGGTGTCACTGCCACATTGCTGAAATATTTACCATGATTTTTATTGCCCGCTAGTGGACTTTGCAGTGAATTATCTCCTCCACTTTGACAAAGAGATAAGCTTTCATGAATAAATGGGGCACATCCAGGCAATGCATTGGCAGAATGCTCGGTTGATAAAACAGCATCTTGCCATGTTACATTAGGTATACCAATATGAGGAAGCTGAGACAAATCTTGAAGGTCATCAAAAGGGTCTGCACTCGATAAAGGCATCGTAACCGAGGAATAATCGCCTAATCCTCCATGTTCCAGGTGCTGCTTATTTGCTTGCAGTAATGGGAAGTTGCTAGCCACATTAGCAATAGAGCTGCCACAAAGACTGGCAGACAGTCCACTGCTAGATAATCCAGCAATGGAGCTGCTATTTGCTTCCTGGACTACCTTTTGCTGGTGCAATTGTCCTGACTGAAATGATGTTGGCACCCCATGAAGCAGATTTGCTTGAGAATTTCTTGTTAATCTGATGTCCTGATGCTTTCCCAAGTCATTAAGTGGATTGCTTGTGCCATGATACATGTGACCATCTTCAACAGCCTGGTAAGGCACACGCCCTGCAGGTACAGATGGACCATTAACTCTATCCAGCATTCCATTTGGTTGGAGAGATGTAAGTGATGGCAGCTGTCGAGATCGTCCCAGTGCATGATAATTCCTGAAAACATCCAGTGATTCCATATTCACACAGGATAAGTTTCTGAATCTTAAAGCAGAAGCCACACTAGCATGCTGGCCCGTCACAGCACTGAGCCTCTTCAGATACAGCCTATACTTCTGCAATCATGAAAGGAAAGTGGCTAACCAATCATCAGATGGAAAATAAAACTTGATGATTAGTATCAAAAATAAGGAAGTATGTTATCAGTAATAACTGTCTCCATAAATAAATTTGACAATCTAAATGATCTTGTTATGTCCTTACAAAACTATTCTAGCATCCAAGCGACAAGTCTAATTGATCAGGTGTATCAACTCACTGAAACCAATTGCAGGGATTCTCCAGGGTTTAAGTGGCATGCAAAAGTTCTTCTTTTTGCCAAATAGAAAATTATCCGATACAATTTTTGGGATTACGGCTTACTATAGAATCAGTGCAGCAGATCATAAATTTATCTTCAATGATAAGTTACAGGATCATGTGCTAAAAGAAACTTAGAAGTGAAACAACATGCCTGTAGATGGCTTGCAACATTTTCTCTTGTCAAATTCTCAACATTCATAAGATCAAGTATTTTCTTGGGTACAGCTTCTGCAGCAGACAGAACAAGAAAAGGATTAGAATCACAAATAGTCCAATGAAGCAACAAAAAAGATAAGTGAGGTCGTATAGTGGAAGACTAATAATCAGAAACACTTACTGTCAATGCCCAATTGATTAACAGCGGCAACAAATTTTCGGTGCAGCTCAATGGACCAAACAACTCGAGGTTTTTTCTGAGAGGATGAAGTTTCATTTTCTTGCATGTTTTCTTCGCTATCATTTTCTTCATTCTGATCCTTGTGCCTCTTCTTGGGTCTTTCATTGTGATCCTTGACCCACTGACTACTTTCGGAATCTGTAACCTGATCTTTCTGGCTATCCTCCTCATTGTTGACATTATTGTTTTGAACACCAGCAGACTTCCTCCTCCTAATTACATGTTGCCATATGTTCCTTAGTTCTTGCATCCGCACTGGTTTCAGCAAATAGTCACAAGCACCATGAGTTATCCCCTTCATCACAGCTTGTCTCTCACCATTTGCGGACAACACTGCAATGCCAATTTGCTCTTCTTAGAAACTATATCATCCAATTAGTTTTCAATTGTTGTTCCTATATTCAGTAACTGATGTTTCTATGTTCCAACAATCCAAGTTGTTCTATCTATCATGGAAGAAAGTTGGATTCTTGTCGGACAAAATGTTCCAACTCTCCCAAATTAACATTTTGATGCACTCTACGGACCGAAAAGGAGGTATTACAACAGAAAGCAGTTCTCGTAATAATCACATCCACGAGATGCAACACAAGATTCGAATTCAATACTTACTAATGACGGGAAGGTCCATTTCGAGGCCCACGAGCTCCAAAAGCTTGAATCCGTCCATGTCCGGCATGTGAACATCGCTGATAACCAGGTCGTATTTGTCTCTGTTCTCCCTTAGCAACTTCAGTGCCGTGGTCGCTCGAGTCGTCGTCGTGACTGCAGAACACATGGACAAATGCATAAAAAACGATTCCTCTCTCTCTCTCTCTCTCTCTCGCATCAATCCAAGCCTAACATCCGTCTGTTTGCGCAGGCAAAAAGGGAAACAAAATCGAAGTTTTGGACAGACCATTGTACTGGCAACGGACCAGGAGATTCTCCAGCACCTTCAGGCAAGTGGGGTCGTCATCGACGGCGAGAACGCGCATGCCCACGGGGAACTCGTCCTTCACGGCACTCCTTTCCTCGGCCGTCATGGTGACGCGCCGGTGTCCTATTCCAAGACCCCAAAAGGCAACAAGAGACAGTAGAACAAAGGCCAATGGCTACTTCACAACCACAGCAACCAGAGGAAACGGAACAGAGATGCTGGTGAAGCAAGCATGTCAAGGAAGAAGAGGAACAGGGGAGAGGGAGGTTGAGGGAATGGCGTATATGAGGGAGGAGGGCGGTTGGCCAAGTAAGGAAAGAGAAGGCAGTGGAGGCACGGATGGTAAGGAGCGGATGAATGGATGGGGAGGGGAGGGAGGGGGGGGTGGGGAGCGGGGGGAGGGGGAGGGAGGAGGGAGACTGAGTTCATGCATCCATCAAAATGAGAACTTTTTCCTCTCCTTCCCCCTCTTGTCACTTAATTCTCACTTTTCCATCAATTTGACTTAAGTAAAAAAAAAAAAAGGAGCATATATTTCTTTTTAAATTTCCTTTAAAACCTAAATTAAAGATATTCTAATAAATAAATTGAATATTTATATATAACAATGAGGTTGCTCCTTTGGGCTTCGGACACTGATCGAACTCGTTGTTACAAGAGTTTTTACATAGTTTTAGTTCGAGTAACTATTTTGATTTTGAAGATGATGAATTTGAGACTCAAAATTAAAATAAATAAGGAAGAAAGTATATAAAAAAAAAATACTCTAAAATAAAAATAACTTTTAGATAATCAATTTTCATTGTCCACACATTCTCAGTTCAGTTACATTGAATCATTCTTACCCACATCCATATTATTTTTCCTCATCATAAGAATTAAAGATTTTTCCTTTTATATTATTGTATGTTTATATATTTTAATCTATAACTTATAGATAAAATTTGTCTCATCAACTCGCTCCAAATTATATAAATTTCTTTTTTAGTAAGAAGAAAGAGAGAGAGAGAGAGAGAGAGAGAGAGAGAGAGAGAGATTAGACTTCAATATAATTTGCTTTTTTTTTGGGCATATACTTCCTGTCAAAGTCTCCTCTACTGTTCAAGCTATGCAACTTTTTCATATTTGTTCCCAAAACAAAGCAGTCTCTTCAACACTAATACATCCTTTTAAGGCAGTATTTTGAACTCAACTTTAATTTCCAACCTTAATTTTTCCTTTTTATTTTTCCTGATTCTTGATTCTTGAAGTGTGTGTATATATATATATATATATATATATGTATATATATATATATGTATATATATATATATGTATATATATATATATGTATATATATATATATGTGTATATATATATATATGTGTATATATATATATATGTATGTATATATATATATGTGTATATATATATATATGGACTAGTTAGTGAAAGATTAAAACAGCAATTTAGATCAGATTTGATTATTTTGAATGGAAAGTGAAAAAGTTCAGATGGAAGAGATGTATCTAAAATAAGATTCTGAATTCATTACCCCACAGGTTGTCATTCGTACAGTGAGGTATATTGGATTTGCTCGATCTATCGATCCACTTAAATTGATTTCGGATGAGTTAAGGGGACATTGGCATATGTAATACGTATATATTCACCCATATATACCCCACAAGCGATACCAACCTTTAATGGGCCCAACTTAGTGAGCCCAATTATAAGCCCAATAGCTCAATCCTTTCCCGGACCAACTCCTATATAATTGGATAAAAAGGCGACCCTTTTCGTGTTCGCACTTGTCGCTAGGGTTTCCGCCGCTGCCATCGACCAGAAGACCGGCGGGCTAAGATGGTGTGACTCTCTTCTGCTAGGGTGAGGTTTCGGACGCTTTGGGTTTTTACTTGTTCTAATTCTTGTCGCCTGCTCGTTTGATCTATGTAGCCGTCGCACAAGACGTTCCGGATCAAGAAGAAGTTGGCGAAGAAGATGCGCCAGAACCGCCCCATCCCCCACTGGATCCGTATGCGGACCGATAACACTATCAGGTTCTTCCTTTATCCTCTCTTCTTCCGGGTTCGATTGGCCGTCTACTTGTTCATTTTGGCTTACAAGTTTCATATATTGTTCTCAGGTACAACGCCAAGCGCAGGCACTGGCGTCGCACTAAGCTAGGGTTTTGAAGACGCCTTGGGTGTCCTTACTTGCCTTTTCTAGACATTAGGGTTCTTTCTTATCTACTTTGGCTGGAAAGACGTGTCCTTGTCATGATCCATGATCTGATTCCGCTCTGCTGAGCTAGATTTGGATGGTTGTTTTCTCAATTGCTCAACTTTATCTATTGGCATGATGTTATTTCAATGAAGTTCATTTTTCGAGGGTAAATTTTGTCAATGTTGTGATCTTCATGCATTATTTCAGGGAAATTGTTTTGGATTGATCTAATGTTTTATGCTGTCGATTGCCAATTATAGGCTCTAAGTGAGATGGTTCGGCTATTTAACTGATATAGAGATATGTAGTTCCATCCTGGGAGAATGTAGGAGTGTCTGATGTGGATGTGTGTATAGTCAGTTAGGTTTCGTTTGGATAGCTCCCTTTTATTTCTAAGTTCAGATCTTCTAATGGATTGACTATGGTGTTAGTTTGGTGACTTTAGTGTATGACTTTCTCTGTTAATTCTTTAACTTTGTTCATCTGTTGTTCAAGTCATTCGTGGTTAATTGTTGAAGTTTGTGATTCTTCTACTGTTGTTCAACTCATTTGGGGCCATTGTTTTTCTTGATTACTTTTACCATTTAACTTGGAAGATGGTGAATACATGAAAGTCTGCAACCCTGTCATGAAGGTAACTTCATAATGCTGTAAGCCGTAAACCAAGAGACTGTAATAATGAGTGTTTCTCTTTGGTTTATGAGACTGTTGGCTATAGGTCACACTCATTAAAGCTACATTGTTATATAAGAAGATAATTGAATTGACAAATGAGTTATCTGAATCACCCAACTAAATGGAAATATATTCTTTTTTAGTTTATCAAGTGGTGAGCCACAAGGAAATTGGCTAGACTTACCGATTGTGGTTATGGCCTATCTTGTGAAAATCTGTCTCTTTTCTTGAGGTGGCTTAGTGGGCATTTATTTCTAGGATTTTATCCGAATCGAACTATAAATATGAATATTTGATTTTGTAGTAGAAAAACCTTCTTTATTTGTTATGTTTCGGGGTTGTGCAACCTAACTGGTGCTAATTTACTTTTTGAGTCTTCAAGTTACAAGATGTTTGTCATGCAATAAGTCTTGAGGTCCGCGAGCAAGTTTGCCCGTTCCTGTGTTTCCAAGTTTCATATAGGAAGCCTTATCTGTGAACACAATATAATGTTGCACGTGGTCATATAGGTATTTGCAATGTTTATGCCTGCAATCTTCGTCGACTTTGATGCTGCTTGATGTTTGGAGGGAGACTTTGATTTGTGACTGTAATGCAAATGGTATCTTTTGTTTGATCCTTTGTGCAAACTGGTGCTTTGTTTGTGTGCGTTTGGATCACTGGTGGAGGAAATGTTTGTGTTTCTCCACGTCTGTAGTTAACCGGCAGCCCGTTTAAAGGTTTTCTTTTACTGCAAAGTTTGTGGTCTTTCTGGGGTTGTTGCCATGATAATTGGATGTAAGAACCAGCTTTAGATATTTATCGTAGCTTCTTGTGGATGGATGTTGACTGCCCTGTTGCGTGCACACAACCATAGATGGTATGCAGTCCGGTATGTGTTTCCGGATTGAATTCATGTTGTGTGGGAATAACAGTCGTAGGTATAGTTATTGGCTTGTCTGCTGCATGTATATTTGTAATCTTAGGTACATCTAAAGAGGAAATGAAGTGCAAATACGGCCCGTGAAGAGGAGGGAGTTTTGTAAGTAGATAAACCTCGTAAGCTTGGTACCTTTTTGTTCTCACCTTCGAAGCTCTCATTTGAATATTAGCTACTGTTGAGATCGATGGTGGATTAAGATGATTAAGTTAATGGTAGTCCTCGAGGGGTCTTATTGTGATGATCCAACTCAATGTGGTATTTGGTTTATTATTTTTATCGAGTCTAAATTATGGTTTTAAAATATTTAAGATAATTATCGACTAAAGTCTTTTTTTGTATTATCTTGAGTTTAAATTTTTTTGAAACATGTGCAAGTGACATACTTTCTGCTTAATCATAACTCAGAACAGATAATAGAGTTAATCACAACTCAGAACAGAAGTTAATGATGTTTTATTCAAAACAAAATTTAAATATTCATAAATATTCACATCTTAAAAAAATAAAAATCAAGTTTTAATATATAAATTTAAAAGTTATAAAATTATCTCGTATTCCGACTCAGCTTTTTTTTTTGCTGATTTTGTTCATATTTTTTTCTACTTGATTCTATTATAATATTGAAGCAAGAAGAAAAATAGTACGATGGATGGAGACTAAAGTAACACAAACCATAATAAGGATAAATCTCGTCACAAACACATTCAATAACATATGGTATAAGTTGGACACTAGGTGGAGCATACTCCTAATAGTAACAACCTTTAACAGATGTTTTATCCCTCGAGATCTTTCTAACTGAAGATGAAATGAATCCATAAGAGAATCTCTCTCCAAGGCATGTAATTAACAAATATTACACAGATCTTTTTATCCTAACTCGCTGAAAGATCCTTTTGCCATATCAATCACATATCTCATGTCAATTTCAAGATTGATGCTATCGCCATATCCATTAATCTAGAAGTCATCAAACATCATAAAATATACCTTAATTAACTCTTAATTAATCTAAACCTTAATTGAATCAGTTCAATTGACTTAAATCGAACTCAATTCAATTAGAACATAGCTGAATCAACCCATAATCCTCATAAAAATAGCCTAGAATCATATTAAGCTGATCTACTTTGGACTTGATTAAGTCCAATTTGGATCCAACAAGCTTAGATCGATCTAAATCGATTCGAAATTATCAATATCAAAATCGACTAAATGTTCAGATTCAATCTTGAGGCCAATTGGGCTTACTGGCCAACCCAAAATCCAACCCAATAGAGAGTTAAACTTAGGTCAAGGCGATTCAGGACAGTGCTAGGTCAGCCTACACCAGCCCAAACTATACTCACATGTTAGGCTGTGTATCAAAGAGGGAAAAAGGGGGCATGGGCTAGGTCACATTATATTGTGCACTTAACAAAAATAAATTTAATCGTGTTTCGAATTGTCATTCGGCTTTTGATATTTGAAGAACTCTTGAGGTCACGCATGAAGGTACTAGCAAAGTGAAAGAGTCCAAAATCAACATTCTTGTGCATTCTTATGAACTTTTCCGGATGAAACAAAGTGAGTCATCAATGGACTCAAAGCTCTTGGTAAAGATTTTTCTAACTATGAATTAGTAACTAAAATTCTAAGATCCCTTCCAAAGAGTTGGGATCTAAAAGTTACGGTCATTCAAGAGGCCAAGGATCTTAAAATATTTCCACTCGAAGAACTAATTGGGTCTCTAATAACCTATGAAATGAACAATATGATAAAAAGGAAACTCGAGAACAACCTTCCAAAGGACAGGAAGGATTTGGGACATAGAACACATGAAGACCACTCGATTATAAGCTCAAGTAATGGTGAACTTAAACTACAAATGAAACAAAAATTAAAAAGCAAAAAGAACAGAACTACTTATTTTGAATGCAAGAAGAACAAAAATTGGGATGAATTGAGCTCCTCCGAAGATGAGGAGAAAATCAAGAAAGGCGAGATGGCAAACTACGCCTCAACGGTATTCAACGATGAGGTAATCGAAACCCCCTTAATTTATTTTGAAATTACTTGATGTTTTCCATGATGTATTTTCTTTTTTTTTTTGAATAATCATTTTTCTTGAAAAGTGCATGTTTTATGTTAATGGAATAAAATGTTAGATTTAAATCTAATGATCATATGTATATTTTTCTTAAGAAGAAAAAATGTGTATCTTGATGATTTCCGATTTTGATTGAAAACATGCTTGATATCTTAATGAAAATATTAAGAAGTTTAATATCATGCTTAATGATGATGCATGGCTTTTGTATGAAAAATTAAGCATGAAAAGATAGATTCACCTAAAAAGAAAATTACATGACTACAACAAATAACAAATAATTTT